ATATTGAGGAGATATATGTTCCACTCTATATGCATCTGAAGAAGTGGGCTGTAGCCCACGAAAGCTTATGCTCAAATAAACTTGTTAGTCTCTAAGGTGCCACAAGTACTCCTGGTTTTTTTGCGGATACAGACTAACACGGGTGCTACTCTGAAACAGGATTAGTGCTTCATAACAGCAGCTAAGTGCAGTTAGCATGGCTGATGGTCAAAAAAACAAATGACTGAATAGCCCTTCCCTCAAGCAAGTCTTCATACAGTTGTTGAGAGATTGAGCACTCCCAATTAGAGATGTTCATAAGCAAGTGTGAATAGTGAAGATAAAAACATTGCACAATGAGTGTATTATGAGTTGGCCACTACACTCCACAGCACAAACCCAACCCTAAGGTGATTATCCAGTGGAGGTGCCATGTTATAATTATCTTTAATGTGTGTGATGTCACATGAGCAACCAGCGAATGACCTTTGACTAGAGGGGAAGAAAACCCTCACAAAGCTATGTAGTTCCATGAGCATGTACCTTGCTTGCTGGGGACCAGGACCAGTATGCACTTAGATGATATCAGGCTGCATGTACAGAATTTGTAAACCAGACTTGTCCTGAGCCTGCTCAGGACAAAGCACTCCCCTTTATCCTCACAAATGTTATGGGCTATGCAGCAGGTTATAAGAATGGCATTTGCCACATTGGCATCTAGATGGGTGAATACACAGTCCTAATCAGCTTTCAGCCTACCAAATGTGCCCTCCACAACCATTCTGCAGCTACTGAGCTTGTAATTGAATTTCCTTTTTCCAGGGTCATTGATGTAAGGGTACAGTTTCATGAGACAATTTAGATGTGGATATGTGGTGTCTCCCAAAATAACAGTTGACACAGATACTGTATTCCCCAGAAAAAAAGTATTGTTCTGCAAATACTTCTTTCCCCTTCAAATATGGCCCTGATCTCATCACCCTGGCATCCTGAATATTTCCAGTGTTTCCCATGTTTGTATTCATGAATCTGCCTCTGTGATCCACTAAGCCTTTCAGAATGGTTGAATAGTAACTTTTTTGGTTCACATACTCACTTGCCCCTTGAGATGGGAGTACTGATGGCCCCTGCACAGTTCAGGAACTACATTCTCTGAAATCCAGTTATTACTTCTGGAACTTTTCTTACGGTAATCTCCTGTGGGTAGATCACGGTGTTAATAGCCTCAATAATGTGCACAACTATGACGCCAACAGTAGACTTTCCAACCCCAAAGAGGTTTGCAATGGATCTATAGTTGTCTGGTGTTTCCAGCATCCACTGGGCAATAGCAACCAGCTTCTGAAACAGTATAGCTTCCCTGAATCAAGTGTTCTGTTGCTGGAGGTTTGGTGCAAGCTCTTCGAACAGCTCCACAAAGCTCTTTCCTTATCTGGAAATTCTGACGCCACTGATGGTCAATATAAGAATGTCCATACTGGGTCAGACCAATGGTCCATCTAACCCTGTCTTCCTACAGTGGCCAATGCCAGAGGCTTCAGGTGGAATGAACAGGAGAGGGCAATTATTGAATGATCCATCCTTTGTCATCCAGTCCCATCTGGTAGTCACCCAGTACACGGGATTGCATCCCTGACCATTTTGGCTAATAGCCATTGACCTATCCTCTATGAATTTATCAAATTATTTTTTGAACCCAGTTACAGTTTTGGCCTTCACAACATCCCCTGACAATGAATTCCATAGATTGACTGTGTTGTGTGAAAAGTACTTGCTTTTTTAAAATTGTTTAAACCTGCTATCTATTAATTTCATTGGGTGACCCCTGGATCTTGTGTTATGTGAAGGGTTAGATAACACTTTCTCCATAGTATTCATAATTTTATAGATCTCTATCATATTGTCCCTTAGTCATCCCTTTTCCAAGCTGAACAGTCCCATTCTTTCTAATCTAGTCTCATATGGAAGCTATTCCATATCCTTAATAATTTTTTATGTCCTTCTCTGTACTTTTCCCAGCTCTAACATATCTTCTTCTTTTTTTTAAATGGGGTGACTAAAACTGCACACAGTATTCAAGGTGTGGGGCATAGCATGGATTTACATAGGGTCATTATGATATTTTCTGTCTTATTATCTATCCCTTTTCTAATGGATCCTAACATTTTTCGTTTTTTTTTTTACTGCTGCCACACATTGAGCAGATGGTTTCAGAGGACTGTCCACAGTGACTCCAAGATCTCTTTCTTGAGTGGTATCAGCTAACTTGGACCCCATCATTTTGTATGTATAATTGGGGTTATGTTTTCAAATATGCATTACTTTCTATTTATCAACATTGAATTTCATCTGCCGTTTTTTTTGCCAAATCAGTTTTGTGAGATCCCTTTGTAACTGTTCACGGTCTGCTTTGGACTTAACTATCTTGAAAAATTTTGCCACCTCACCATTTACTCCTTTTTCCAGATCATTTATGAATATATTGAAAAGTACTGGTCAAAATACAGATCATTTGGGGAACCCGCTATTTACCTCTCTCCATTCTGAAAAGTTATCATTTATTCCTACCCTTTGTGTCCTGTCTTTTAACCAGTTTAGTGATCCATGAGAGTCTCTTTCTTCTTATCTCAGCATTAACTTGAACTCAAATTGTTTGTGGTTTGATATCCTTCAGCGTCAGTCTTGAAAATGATATAAAGCCATTCTTAATCTTCAACAATGGGCCATAACTATTTAGTTTTGCAGTCTTTTTAATTATAGTGTCAAAATTTGTAATGTGATAGATATTGTGCAAGATTTGTCAATACTATGTTTATATAAAAGTCAGAATTGAATAGAAACATAATATAACTGCTGAGCGATGAATAAAAAAGTGTTTGTTTCATTGTAGGGTGCCACCCGTTTTTATCACCAATAACATAAGAAAAGCAGGTGGATATTTTGCAAAGCAAACTATTCATGGAGAAGTATACGGAATTCAAATTACGTTTTAGATGTAGCAAGTACTGGCTTTTTGAGCAGTAAATGGTTTAAAATTGAAACCTGAAAAGTGTCCAGAGTGAGGAGCTAGCTTTAACATTTGAACTCTAAAGCACTGTGAAAAAAGAATATGAAGGAAGAGACAAGAATTGTTTATTCATGTGTGAAGTAGTTGAAGTGAAACTCAAACTTTTGACATGCTCTGTTTAAGAGCCAGTTTTTAATCCCAGAAGTACAGCAAGCTAGAGAACCTGCTAGTCCGCTTGCGTGCATAAGCAGATTTTTTTTTTTTTGGAGACACAGGATGTCTGCACATCTAAAATTAGAAACTGGCCTTTAGACTTTTTCAGAGAGGGCCTTCTCATTTCCAGCTGTTGCATATGTAGGAGACCAGTTAATCCTTGGTGATTATGCCCCACAGCAACTATTTTTTTAAAAGTTACTACTAATTGTCAATACTGGGACTGGTTCACTGATTCCCACTGACTCCACAGGCTGGGAACTGGTCCACTCTCTCTAATTTCATCCTTTCCATTATCCATCAGAACCTGTTTATAAAATCCCAATGGTGTTACTTTCATTTGTTCTTCTACTGCTCACTAGAGATCTTATTGTGATCTACACACTCTTACATGGAAGACGACAGCATTAGAAAAGCCTAAATTGCATTGGGGAAAAAGAACACTCAGATTATAAATGATTATTATATTGTGGTAGCACCTAGAGGCCTCAGCCAAGTCAGGCCCTATTGAGCTAGATACTGTGCAATTATGCAGTAAATGACAGGCCCCGCCCCAGAGACCTTATAGTCCAAAAGAGAAGGCAGAACCAGTGTGAAACAAGCCAGGCAGAAGGGGTGAGAGAGAGGATAGAATAATAAGGTGACTTACTGTAGACTAGCTGTGTGCACAATTCATAGGTGCAATAAGCTATTCAGTAAGTAATCACAGTTCACCACATCCCTAGCCATTATTCAATGACCTGTAGTTATTATGGGAGACGTAAAGGCTTTGTGGATTTTAATTTGCTCTCCTTTCCTTCTCTCTCTCAGATATATACTGTCTCTAAATAAAAATTAGGAATCTAAGTTTTTGCTTCCTGTCACAAAAAGCAATCAAGTTTGGCAAGATTTCGCTTTTATATACCCATGCTGTTATAGAACTGGATATATCATCACTGATGAACAAAATGACTGGCTATTATTATGGTCTAATACATTCACTGATATGTTTGTTTTATAATATACTGAATGTTCACAAAGGATATGTCAATGAGCCCAGATATAGATAGAATATATGGAGATTGATGACAAATAAAAATAAGGTGTTGAGAAACTATTGCCTCTATGTTCTACCTATAAATAAGATGAAGATAGAATACAGATCTTTTTCAGATCTCTGAAACTATTTGGTTTGGCATTTGAGGTAAAGATTTTAGATGATTCATATCTGATCTGGACTGACTCACCCATTCTATATCTATTTTACTGGAACTGGGTACCATTGTGTCATAAACTTGTATGAGTAAATAGCCTGACAGCAAAAAAGCTCTTAGCCTGCCTTTTAATGGTACTTTGAAAAGCCAAGAAAACCAAATGCCACCATTTTCAGCCTTTTTATTTTCATTTTTGTTTTCACTGAAGATTCACAGTCTTCACTGGAGAGAAAGAATGAGCCAATATCGTTTTATTGGTTTGATTTGGAAATGGAAGCCATTCCTCAGCCCAGATTTTGTTGATTGTCTCAGTTATTTATTTTGAGGGGGTGGGGCAAAAATGTTGTTTGCTGCCTTGGTGGCCAGGAGTAACAGCTGGTATTTTCTATCCTTGAAAGGAATGCCAAGGATAGAGCTACGTGGGGAACTGGTGGTGCAAAAGACTCAGAAATCTGTCTGAGCAGCTGTCACTGCTATGTGCATAGTGCAAATATGCAAAATGTTGCTTTGAGTTGCCAAAGCCTTCAGTGATTTTGGCAGCTTATAGTTATAATACTGGATGTTCTGTGGATGGCAACAGCAGTAGCGGTGTCATGTCTCTTTTCAGTGTGTAGGAAGATGCTGAGTCTTTCATTTCAGTGCATGTGTTTACTGAGACATTGCCAGTGGGACGGCAGAGGCAAGACTGTAGCATCAATATGCTTCACTGGCTTCAGATATGGTTTGTTCTTTAAATTAATTTATTTTGCAGTCAACTGATGATTGGCTGCTTCATCTTTAGTTATCTCCACAGGGCCATGAGGAAGAGATACAAGAAGGGTCTGAGAAGAAGTGTAATTTGGATACAGGTACAAAGAGAACAAAATGTGAGTTTTGTTTCCATGCAGGAATTTTTTAAGTAAGACACCACTGTATAGAAGTTTCTTCTTTTAATTTAGAGTGAGTGTAATTTTAATAAAATGAGATTAAGGGTGAACTCCTGGCACTATTGAAGACAATGGGAGATTTGCCATTGACTTCCAAGGGCAGAATTTAACCCTGAGCAATGGGCAAACAAAATGCAGGCAAGATCCTTTGTGCAGCTTGGACAATGTAGCTCTACACTGATTGGTAACACTTATGACATTGTAGTCCAGTACCTATGTGAAAATGAAGTTGAGAGTCATGTCCAACTGTTTGGTGACTGTCATTTTTTCATGTGCAGGGACTAGGTTGAGACTAGCATGTTCCTTTTAAGGATCTGCTCATGCCATTGATAGTGCATGGGTGGGTGGATTGGTGCAGGATTGGAGCCAAAGGTCTTCAAAAGTACACAAAATAAAAAACAAAACGCTAGATCAGTGAACTTAACCAATTTATGTCCCACTGAAAGTTAGCCTGTGTAGAATAGCTTTATACTGCAAGAGCCTGTCTTTTTCCCTGATCCACGTCAGTCCTATTCAAATGTATACAAAAGAAACAGGAACTTCTGGGACTCATCCTTTTACAAATACAATGTACTAGACAAAGCACTTTTCTTATCAATCACTAAACATCCAAAGTACAGTGGAACTCTGAGCAAAAAACAGCGTGGGCACATAAGAGAGAAATCTTGCCAGACAAGCTTGATTGCTTTTTTTGAAAGAGGATTACAAAATTAGAATAGCAAGTGGTAGTGGAATTTAGTAAAGCACTTTATGAAATCTTACTCTCAAAAATAATTCAGATTGCCTTGGAGAGGAACACTGACATGTGGACTGAACACTGGCTGAAGGAACATCAACAAAGGGTAATCATAAACTGCAACATGTTGATTTGGGAGACGGTATTTAGTCAGATAACACAGGGATCAATGTTAGGTCAGGTCATTGAAAACCTCTGTTCAATGTGCAGCAGCAGTGAAAAAAGCAAACAAAATGAATATGGAATGGGGTGGAGAATAATTTAGAAAATATTATTATACCATTATATCAATTGGGTTCACCCTCACCTGGACTACTGTGTATAGTTCTGCACACCCAAACTCAAAAAAGGATATTGCAGAATGCAAAGTGGTTCAGGTATGGATGACAAGAATGATTAGGTGTATGGAAAAACTCTCATATGAAGAGAGATTGAAAAGATACGGATTGTTAATTTTAAAGAGGAGCTAAATTAGAGAACACATGATAAAAGTACAGTCTGCTAATTACTCCATGAACTACGGTGTAGAGGATCCATTAGAAATGTATCAGTTGTAATCTTGTTTTCTAATTTTTTATCTCAGGGGAAAAAAGAAGAAAAATATACATAACCGATATACAAAGTATCCACTGTAGTTAAAAATGAAGATAGTGTATATATTAGGTACAAATAATTTTGTTATACATTTGTGGATTATCCATTGGTACCTGAATACAGTGCCTGAAGAAAGCTCAGTTCAATCTGATCAATACCACTGGTCTACAATTTTTGAGAAGTCGTCTGCTTCAGAGATAAAATGTGCTATTCATTAGGTATTTTGATGTGCTGAATTCAAATATGATAATTAAAACAACTGATTGGCTACTGTTTTAAGATAT